CACACACACACACACACACACACACACACACACACACCAAATCTAAACCACACAAACTTGTGATGTAGGAGGTATTCTTTTTCTTAAATGTGTGTTTGATTGCATGAATGAGGCTTGTAGTGCGTTACGTGTTGAGGTAGAGTAGAATTATATAAGTATCATAACAGGAAACTGACAGACACACAAAGAGTGAAAGGATCATTTTTATATTAGTTCAGGCTTTCTGTTTCTTTCTTCAGGACGTGCTGGACTAAATCTAAATGGGAAGATGTTCACTCTGTCTTCTAATAATGGAGGAGTAACCTTCTATCCCCCCAGTTATCATTTCCCCACTCCCTACCAAACCAGAAGACACAAAGACAGAGCTCTCATGACCACCGCAGCTACAACCAGAGCCCCAACTGCAGTGAGTCCAACTACAGGTGAGCAGGGCATTCAATTTTTTGTACTCATTATTCAAACACTGACTTTTATGTTTCTTCGTTGGTCTGGTCTCTTATAGAAAGGTTTTTAAACAAAAGAAAACCAAGAGCAACACAATCTTTGTTACAGTTCATTTCTGTATCAAAACCTGATGTAATACCATGACATAATTTTGTGTGCATTAAAAAGGTAGCAGATGCCTTTTTTACTAAGCAGGTTTTCAGGGTTACAAAAACAGTTAACTTCTTATCGACGAGCTAAAGCTGTGAAGATAACCTGCCCCAGAGCAGACTGTGGAAAGAAGAGATCAACATAAACAGAATGACCTCCCTGATGACAAATCAGTTCTCTGGAAAATATCGTCCCCAATCCTGGGAGATCCCGGGATTCCAGCTAGGAAGTTCGGTAGTTCAGAAATCCATGAAAAAATTTTAAAAACCTACATACACACAAAACAATTTGGACATAGCGTTTTAAATCTGGCTTTCCCTTACTGCAACATCAGGAGTCCTACTAAGCCAGGGATGACAAACTCATATTACAATGCACATATAACCAACTTTGATCTTAAGAGGGCCGCACCACTTCAATTCAATTTGATTTTATTGAATTCAATCTTTTCTACACATTTATCTCTGAGGTATCTTACCATAATTTTTAAATAAGTGTAATCTTACCTGTAGTTTTTCTACAATATACAAAAATTCTGTTGTGGTAAATTTAAGAAATCTTAACAGAACTCTTTGGGCTCAAATTGTAAAAAAAAAAAAAAAAAAAAAAAAAACTCAAATGAGTAAAATTGCATAAAACATTTTGGTAGCTGATTGCCCAGACTGTCTTCGAATTGTAAAACAACAACAACAACACAAAAAAAATGTTTTAAAAAAATCCCAAACTGAAATTTCTAAGGCAGATTGTGAAAAAAACCCTGTCATTTAATAGTTTTTAAAAACCTTTATTACTTGCAATTAACTCTCTTTACTGGGCCAAATCTGACCCCAGGCCTTATGTTTTACATCCCCATGCTAAGAGGTCACACAAAAGTGGACGCAAGGTAAATCTAGGGTTAACCATTCTAACTATGAAAGAGGCGGTGTTGGCAGCATATGAAGACTGCAGAGGCCCATATTTCATAAAGATGCTCAAATTATAATGTTGGAAAAACTCAGAGATGTTAAACAGACTGGAATACAAACTAAAAGCAAGTTCTACAACTATAGGTGCCTCGTTTTAGGGTCATACCACTGTATTAAAGCTTAAAAAATTATAAAAATATTTAAGAGTTGTATGTGGACAGCTGGGGAAAGGCAAGCAATAAAGATGCTTCTAAGAGTCACTATTTCTTCATGATACTCATCCAAAAAAGACAAAAACTCTACAGGCTCTTTTTAATAGGTCTGAGGAAAAGGTGACGTATTTTTCAGAAAACTGATTGGTCAGTAGGTGACGAGTTCATACCTGTTGATCTCATGAACATAAAATGTTTAAGCAGAAGCTAGGTCTGCGGCACAAGTTACCATGGTGATGGAAATAGGTGTGCAGGTGTCAGTTCCTTTATTATTTAGATTTATTGAAGCTGATAAGGAAGTCCAGAAAAAGACATAGCAACACAAATGGCACTAAAAGGCAAACCTACGATGACAAGAGATAAAGAAGACATCAGTAAGGTGGAGCATAAAGGCTCATCTGTTACATAAATAATGGAAACAGTGGTGGGTTAAGCACCCAGATATAGAGATTATTAACTGCAGAAAGGGGAACATACCTCAAAGCCTGTTACACACTGTTCCTGACCATTTCCAGGAACCAATTTAACCTGTTTAAACTGCATGTAAAGTCAGTAATCATGTTAAGTAACGTCTACATTTTTACTCACCTTTTCACAGGTGTGTCTGTGTGTCTGCGTTACATGACTGACTATATGTATCAAACCTTCCCGCTCTTCACTGTCAGTCCAAAGAAATCCACTCTAAAGCTGCAGGGTAGCGCTGACATATTCACGCTATCATATCAGGATCACAACAGCGTGGGCCTGGAACCCATTGTGTATTCATGGCCGGACATTAAACAGGACATCTGGACCAGTGTCTGCCTCACTGTGGACACCAGTAAAGGTGTGGTCCAGCTGTTCAATGGTGCGTACATGAGCGTCAGGAAGGTGCTGCCATCTCAGGTGAGAATTATTAGAATTAGTGTGTAGACACCCACATACACCCACATGTTTAGTTTAGATACGTAGCATAGAAAAGGAAACACTTTTATTTATTAACATCTTTCAGACTTGAGGCGAGTGGAAAAGTTACTGCATCCATAACATCTAATAAATGATGACACAGTGAGGAAGCTGTAACCTTTCTAAAAGTTTAAAAGCCATTTTTTTCACTCAGAATGCAAACTATGGAAATATGGGTAACAAAATATACACATCAATCATATTTCAGGTCTACAGCAGTCTAACAAAAAACACAAGCAAACACCCCTGTTAGCCAATAAAACCTTCACTGTGTGTGCGTTTGTGTGTGTGTGTTCAGTATGTGTGGGCAGGTGAGCCTGTCATTGACTTCCCGGGTTTTGATGGTCAGCTGACAGACGTCCACGTGTGGGATTATCCTCTGAACTATAAAGAAGTTTTCTACTACATCACTAAAGGCTACTATGGGTAAGATCCCGTGTGTGTGTGGTGTGTGTGTGTGTGTGTGTGTGTGTGTGTGTGTGTGTGTGTGTGTGTGTGTGTGTGTGCGTTCCAGTTTTACATGTACAGCTAACTTAAACCTCACTGCAGCACAGACCATCATCACTGCATTAAGACTGATTTTAAGTGTGTTTTATTCCCAATAGTTAAAAAAAAAGTCTAATACATGAACTAAACGCATCATAATGTTACACAATGGGTGTGAGAAGTCTGCTTCATTTATTAATGAGAACAATAGTTATCTCTCTGTCATCTCTCTGCATGACATCTCATGTTAAAATATGTAGCACAAACTAGAAATGTTCAACCATCAGCTGATGGTCATCACGGAGAAAGTTTATCTGGGCATGGAGCGCCCTCTTTTGGAATCAAGTTAAATAACAGTGCAGACCTGAAGTCATCTATGTGAGCGCGGTGCCTGGTTGGTACCTGGTTCAGTGGCTGCAGCTCAGGAGGTAGAGGAGGTCATCGAAGGGAAGGTAGTTTGATCCCTGGCTGCTCCAGTCTGTGTGCCAAATATCTTTGGGCAAGACACTAACTCCACTTTACTCTGTGATACATCCAGTGAATGTGTATGAATGTTGAACAGAAAGCACTTATGTAGAGAAAGTGCTACTTTTAGTGCTCAGAGTAGAAATGTGCTGTATAAGAATCAGACAATTTATCTTTTACTGTTTTTTGAGTGAATTGTTTCTTTAGAACCACCATATTTTGCCCAAATGTGTCCTTTGCAATTATAATTGTGTGCTGCTGAGTTTGCATTACACTGCCACCAAAAGCTGTCCCTATATCTAACATCCATAATCTATTTTTAAACAAAATTATTTTTATTTATAATCGGCCTTGTGTTTTTAGGTCTTACAACGGCTCTGTCATCTCCTGGTCCTACATCAGCTATTCTAACAGAGGAAGGGCAGTCATGGAGGACTCCTATGACATGCAGGCAAAACAACCAATCAGGGAAGCTGAGCAAGAGCGTGGCCTGAAGGAAGAGAAGCTGAGATTTTTCAGCGTGGAGGAGGAAAAAAGACAACACTTGTTTTAATGATGACAGAGTAGGGATGGAGTAGGGTAATTAGTAGAAAATAATCCAGTCATAAAAGACTTGACAGTGATTAATCGTGTTTTGAAATTAAATGTTTGATTTGATTTCAGTGTGTGGTTTTGTTTATGAAGCAAGATTGGAAACTAATTTTACACTCTCTCACTTTGGACACGTCCATGCTCCCTCAGGCTGTGCATGACTTTGTGTTGTGCACGTAGCTGAAAACTGCCACATCTGATCCAAACAGCAACCTTGATTGATAAAAAATGAAGGTAAAGTGCCAAAAAGTGCTTCTTTTCCACCCTTCCACACTCAGCTTTATCACCAGTGTGAATTTACACTGATTAGTCAAGGTGCACTTCAGATGTCTCTGCATGTGGCTGTGAATGCACCAGAAAAAAGATTACCGTAAGTAAAAATTTGAGACACAGATTTGGACAAAAAATTAAAATCTGAAGCTAATTATTCATTTTTTATGTGTTGTGGTTGTTTTTGTGTGTTTATTATGGAAAACAACAATACAGAGGTGGTGGAGAGAGAGTAATGAATGATATCTGTTAAGGTGCTATATTGTGCTTTAAAGGAGCAGTTCGGTGTTTTGTGAAATGGCCTTGCTTGATTCTGGAGGTGTCAGATTTGTTGAAGACCTAAGTGCAGCACACATTCATGCTTAATCCACAACTAAGAATCAAACAGGGACTAGAGAGGGAATCAAAACAGTGGAAATAAGAAAAAGTGACAATACTTTTTAAATTAGCACAGAGTGTCACTTCAGCTCAAGTTCTATTTTATTTCTCTTCATGATTTTATTCTCAGTTTCCTTTGAGAATTTGTAATCATATTTATGCCCCTGAGTTTGTTTTTCCTGCACTCCTGTGATTTCTGAGTCACGTCTGTATTTCTGTATTTCCCTGTGTTCAGTTACTTCCTGATCTTTTATGCTTTACATTTATTTTTTCAGTTTGTCTTGGTTCAGTTTTGCCTCGTCCCTCATGATTGTGTGTCCGCCTGCTCTGTGTTTCTGTCACGGTCCTGGGTCGGTGACCCTGTGTTATTTTGTTATCATTATTGCTCTAGGATTTCTTCGCTGTAAAGGACTTCTTGTGTTCTGATTTGATGTTTGATTTTCCTCATTGTTATCACAATTAGTGTCTGGGTTTCTTTCTCTGTATTTCTAGTGCTCTAGTTCTTTGTTCTGTGATTTCTAGTTTTTAGGTTTGGTTCATGTGTCCCTTTTGGTTCAGTGTCAGGTCTGGGTCTGTGTCAGTTGGCTGTTTCCTGTTTAGCTTTGAAAGTCTGTTTCATGTCAGCGTTTCTAGTTTCGCTTCCCCTGTCTCGTGAGGTCAATTCCTCATTCCCTCTTGTTCCTGTGTATTTACAGTGTGTGTATTTCTCCGTGCTCCTCGTTATTTCAGAGTCTGTTCCAAGTTTAATAGCTTCCTAGTTTCCTGTTGTTTCTTTTTTTCCTCAGGCCTTAGTTTCTAGTTTCCAGTTTTTGGTTATATGTTCTTTCTCATCGTGTTTGGATGTTCAGCGGCAATAACAGCTGCCTCTCAAAATTTAACTCTTTTGTGGTCTGAGTCCTGCATTTGAGTCCTAAACCTGCCTGCCACACAGCAGAACCGTGACAGTTTCCCTACTTTATGTTAGGTGACTGACTATAACGGCTGGACTCAGTAGCAGAAACACACACAGGCTCGGCGGTTGCAGTAAATGCTGTTTTATTTACAGTGATAGGGGATATTTACAAGAGACGGGGTTATTTACAGTGATCGGATAAATGTGCAAGGACCGAGAGGGAATGAAACAGAGCCGATGCATGCGGGAGGATGGGTGGTGCACTGGAGTGAACTGAGGATGAGGGACAAAACAGAGTTAGGGAACTGCGCCGCAAGCCAAGGGGTGAACATATGTAAACAGGGAGAGTTGGAGAGCTTACTTGATACACAGTAAATACAGATGCGGGCGGTGATCACAGGCAGAGGTGAGGTAAATCTCCAAAAGAACAGGCAGGCGAGCAGGCGGCGGGACAGGCTAGTGCAGGGGGTCTGCAATGGATCTGCAAAACATTTTACAACTTGTGGAAGTGACAAAACTCCGACATCAGGCGTCCGTCGCACAGCTCTTTGAATGCTCCCTCTGATGGGGAGAGAGAAGGAAGACAGGATGAAACACATGCTGTGGACGAGATCCAGAGATTAATAACAAGTGTGATTCAGCAGAGAAGTCTATTAACACATGTTGAGTGAGAAAGGTGACCAAAAAGGAAATACTCTCCAGCAGTTTACAGGATTCAGGGTCACCTTAACCAGCCCTGACTATATGCTTTAGCAAAAAGGAAAGTTTTAAGCCTAATCTTAAAAGTAGAGACAGTGTCTGTCTCCTGACTGGAAGCTGGTTCCACAGAAGAGGGGCCTGAAAACTGAAGGCTCTCCCTCCCATTCTACTTCCCCCTGAATTTTCTTCCGAACCCAGATTTTGTGGAGCTATGGTAAGTGTTGGTTGTTTTTTTTTTGGGTTTTTTTTTTTTTTTTTTTTTAATCCTGGAGTTCGCTCCATACGTCTTCCAGGAGTCAGTTGTGGATGTTCTGTGACCATACACAAGTCACAGAGCTGCTGTATTTGTACTGACATTAGATTACACACAGGTGCACTTTATTTAGTCATTAGCACTCATCAGGCAATGTCTATGGGCAACTGACTTCACTCAGACCAAAGGGGGCTGAATAATTACGCACACCCACTTTGCAGTTATTTATTTGTAAAAAATGTTTGGAATCATGTATGATTTTCGTTCCACTTCTCACGTGTGCACCACTTTGTGTTGGTCTTTCACGGGGAATTTCAATAAAATTGATTCATGTTTGTGGCTGTAGTGTGACAAAATGTGGAAAAGTTCAAGGGGGCCGAATACTTTTGCAAGCCACTGTAAATTCAGCTAACTGTTATCATTTCATGAGTAAAGCTGCTCAGATGATTGAATTGCGATTTTTGTTTTTCGACTCAATAGCCCACATTTTGATTTCGTTTTGCATGTTGCTGATTTCACACAGATCCACTGCTGAAACGTGCCTTTGGGTTTTTCATCATTTAACAAGAATAGGCTCAGGCAATCATTGTGTAATTAGACTTAGCGTATGTGACAGTACGTGGCACAAAATGAACAAGAAGCTTTCATGTATCTAAATCCAGATTTTAGTCCCAAATTTTGTTGACCATAATGAAAATATATACTCTTTGGTATATATTAACCACTGGATGTCAAATAATATATACAAAAGAAAACATTCTGTATCACATTTAGTGTTACAGTTTAGAGCACCACAATAGGATATCCACAATTTAGGATACAGACATTTGTTTTAGTTCAACATCGCAATCATTCTGCGATTGAGTAGTTTACAGAACCAGCAGTTAGCAGCAATAACTTCAGCTGCTTCAATTCATTGACATTTGCAAGCCTACCTTTATACACAGCATTTCAGTCAGGTTAAGGTCTGGGCTTCCATGCTGTAGATTTGCTGCTGTACCCGGGGTCATTATCCTGTTGCATGGCCTGATTTAGGAGAAGCTTTAGCTGTCGGACAGATGGCCTGACATTTGACTCTAGAAAACTTTGGCATACAGAGGAGTTTGTCGACTGCAAGGTGCCTATCTCTTGTGCCTGGAGAACAAGCTCAAATCACCACCCTCAAATCAGCATGCTTGACAGCTGGATTGAGGTGTTTATGCTGTGTTTGATTTTTGCTGAAGGTACTGCTGTGCATGATGGCCAAACCGTCGCTTTGGTCTCATCTGTTAAAAAGACGTTGCTGCAGAAGTCTTCTTCAAGGGCAAATTTGCAGCCGAGTTGTTGTGTTCTTTTAAGAGAAGAAGCTTTCTCCTGGCAGCCCCTCCAAACAAGCCATACTTCTTTGGTCTTTTTCTAATTATACTGTCATGAATGTTAACATTTAACATGCTGTCTGAGGCCTGTAGAGTCTCAGATGCAGCTCTTGGATATAGTGCAGTTTCTCTGAGCACTGAACAGTCTTTGGGGTGGATCTGAATGCTGCAGACTAGCAAACTTGCTGCTTCCACCGTGTTTTATAGACAGCTATAGACACTCACTGCTGTATCGCTCTCCTGACCTCCTCTGCATATGATGATGATGATTTAGACTAAATTTGGAGTCATCAGTTCATCAAACCTTTTGCCCCTGATTTGCAGTCCAGGTCATGAGTAACTTGGCATACCTCAGCTTCTTTCTCTTGCTTTGCATTCTTTAACACGATCCCTGCTAATGCTAACGTGTTCCAGCAGTCTGTGTTTTCCCATCAAGCAATAGTGTTAAACTTTGAGTTTTTGTTCTTTCATTTGAGATATATACGTATTCAGTCGTTGGTTGATGCACCATTTAGTCACTGATAGGCTGATACAATAACATTGCTTTATGATTTCTTGTTAAGATTTGCTTATTAATAGAAAAATTAGGCACTATGGCAGTATAATAGTACCACTAATATTAATATATATATATATAGAGAGAGAGTCTGGATGGCATTACCTTGACAGCTATAAGAATCGATTATTCTTGACCAAGAACATTTTCTTTAACAAGCAAACTAAGAATGCCCTCTTTCCTCTGCCAAGTAAATCAGAGACATACTGAAGCTTCTAGGATGCACTATTGATTGGAATTACTTATTATAAGGCTGTTCTAAAAGCTCCCTGAAAAGCCTTCAGCTGATGAAAATCAAGAGATCATATATGTCCACAGTAGATAGTCTTTTTAATGGCTGTAAAATCCACAGTTGGCAAACCCTTGATGATCAAGTCATATCATGATATCACTGCAAACCCACCAAATCAACGTAACAAACCAACGACCTAAATAGTTCTGTTAGAGATCTCTTGCTGTCAAAATGAAGTTCTTTCTTCCTCCCTGCCACCAAGTGTTTGCTCATACAGCCTCATTTGATTGTCAGGATCCTCTCACTAATGTCTTTAGCTTATAACAAAACGCACTTTGAGATGACCATTCCTGTGAAACAGCTCTACATAAATAAAACTGAACTGACCCGGACATGTAAAATTAATAAGGAGTGGTTTGCTTGCTCCAACTCCTTCTGCCTCATCGCAGCATCCTTGGCACTCTGCTGATCCTTCTGCAGTTTCCTGATGTAGTCTACAGAAGCCTTGAGAATGGTGCCTTTATTCCAGCGCATCTCTCTGTCATTGTTGCGATGTCAGTAAAGATAAGAAGGACAACAGAGGCAGAGGACAAGATCATGATTTATACACCTAATGCGTGGCCCCCTGGCATTTAAAATTCAAACAGTGTAACTTTATGTGAGCAGTGGAAAATGAAAGCGCCAGTACGACCTACAGTGCCCAACTCCTTTATGCGGTCACTGATGTTGAACCAATGCCTCCACTCAACTGCTACCAACAAAGCAAAGGCACACATGGTTACCTCCAGCAATCAGCTGGTATTAAGCAGAAGTGCACAAACAACTAAATAGGATGTTGTGATTCTGAATCTGAAATGTTAGCGTTCATGTTACGAAAAACTAAACTGTTTATTAAAAACTAAATAAATAAATGAAACAAGACACATGTTTATAAAAGAAGAAGTATAACAAGTACACTTATTGTAATGTGATTTTATTCAAAATCACTTTGTTCACTTTGTAACTGTGTGCTTTAAAAACTGCTACACAAATAAACTTCTTCTTTTTCTTATGTTGATTGTGTTTTCTTGTATCTCTTGTATATATTTTTCAGTCCTGGTTTGTCCTTTGGGTTGGGGTCGTGTTGTTGTTGCAGCTCTTTGTTTCCTCGCTCTGTGCGTCCTGTATTTGTATCCCTTGTGATTTCTGGTGTTTGGACTCTGATATTATTCCTGTGTTTTGGGCATTTTGGACTTTGTTTGCTTCCTGGACTATCAGCAAACACACCTCAACCATGGCTGCAAGTTCAACACAGAGGTCATGACTGCTGTGCGGTATGAATACAGTCCATAAAGGCTGATTCCAGTCTATTTAGACTAAAGTAACACTAAAAGATTGAGTAGCTCTGCTCACCACAACAGCTTTTCCACATCATTTAACAAGAGGTAAAGCTGACACAAGAACCAATACTATATGGAAATTCTTAAGTTACTTTAGCTTTCATTAAATCTGTATGTGAGCTTTTACTTCCTCTACTCAAACCAGTGCTGAACTTTATCTCATATTAACAGCTTGCTGTGTCTGTAAATTTCATCTTTCACTTCCTTAAACTCGTCGCCCAAACTTTCATGCAGAGCTCCAGAAATAATTAAAGCTAGGCACACTAGAGTAAGGGAGTGACAGTCCACTTTACTGGAAGCAAAGAAATAGTTATACTACAAGCAAATTAAGTACTGCAAGTAATTTTAAGTAATGTGTAAATCATTTTTGATAATAATTTTTTCACAATTTACAATATAATTTTCATTTTCTTACACAGTGAAAACAGCATTTTTTTTTAAATTCATAGATAGATATTTAAGTCATAAAGTAAATTATTTCTTCATTTCCTTTACAGGGTAAGCCCAGTAAGTCTTGCTGACAGGTTTCTCTGACTACAGCAGAATTCCTTTATAAATTTGAGCTGAATTGTTGTTTTTTCTTATGGTGTTTCATATTTTAAAAGTAAAACTTCCAAGTAAAATAAGAGATTAAATATTCACAGTCGGGACTTTTGCCAGTGCATTAAATTGTAATTTTTCATATGGCAACTCCCGTAGCTTCAAAAAGACTGTCCTTTAGAAGTCAAAGGGAAATTTAACCTCAGCCTTCACCTCTGTGAAAACTTCCACCGATATTTCAGATTTCAAGTGATTATAATCGAAAAAACAAACAAAAACAAAAAAGGCTGGTGAAACAAAAGATAAAAGATAATGGATTACACTGTACAGCTGCATGAAGTGAACTCTGATATATACATTAATACAAAAGAAGAAGGGGAAGAAGGGGACCACCCTCCAGTTTTTAGCCACTGGGAAAAGAGACATCTCAGCTTCACAGGACAGTTTCATCTTCTGTCATTAAAGCAGCAGCTTGTTTTCCTCCACACTGAAGAATCTCATCTTCTTTTCCTTCCGTCTACTCTCTTGCTCAACTTTTGCTCGCATGTCAAAGTTGTCCTCCAAGACTGCCCTTCCTCTGTTATCGTATCTGATGTAGGACCAGGAGATGACGGAGCCACTGTAAGACCTAAAACCACAACAAAACACACGCTTTTAACAAGCTTTTAAAACAAAGCTTAAACATTAAAAAGCAAATTTAAGACAAGGCCTGTTTTAAATGATTTTTTTACTTTATTTATATCTTTAATATTGTCATTTATACTGTGGTTATGATTAAACGGTCGGTGTGTGAGTTCAGCATAGAGATCTTACCCGTAATAACTTCTGCTCATGTAGTAGAAGATGTCTTTATATCGCAGAGGATAGTCCCACACCTGGACGTCTGTCAGCTGACCATCAAAACCTGGGAAACTAATCACAGGCTCGCCTGACCACACATACTGAACACACAGAAAAAAGAGAAGATCAAAATTAAAGATGATTAAGTGATTTTGAGAATAATATTGTCTACTTTTTAAAGCCTTTCAGAAATCTGGATTACAATGAAGGAGTCATTTGAGTGTTTTCTTCACTTAGATATAAACAAAACAAAACAAAAAATGATTCTATGTTGTCATTATTATGTCTTCTGTTGAAGTCTCAGGCACAAAAAGGGTGGAAAGGAGTTACTGTTCCAGCTGGTGGAGTCCAGCTATCTCAGTGTCTTGTTTCTTGAGGACAGACTGTAATGTGACTAAGAGATGGCTGAATATTAAGGTAAAGCTCTAAGTTTACCAGTGGATCTATTTTTCCCTGTGACCACGAGCTGTGAGAAAATCATGGATACAAGTGAGGAAAAATGAACTTCCTCTGAAAGGTGTCTGGGTTCCGCTCATTGGAGAGACATTTCAATTAAAAATACTCAAATAAATAAATACCTGAGGTGGTTCATTAATCTGACCAGAATGCTTCCTGCACACCTGGACTCGCACACTACTTTGCTCTGTTTAGTGAATTTGTCTTTCTGTCTGTGCATCCACACAGTTTTTAGCATGCTGATTCTAACTTTGTCGACATTCTCACCTGATAAGGCATCACCTTCCTGGGGCTCATATACCCGCCACTGAACATCTGGACCACACTCTTACTGGTGTCCACAGTGAGGCAGACACTGGTCCAGATGTCCTGCTTAATGTCTGGCCATAAGTGCACAATGGGCTGCAGGTCCACACTGAAGGAATCATAACAGGACAGCATGAACGTGTCAAAGCTACGCTGCAGACTCAGAGAGGATGTGTCTGGACTGAGAGTGAAGAGTGGGAAGGTTGGCTGCACAGCGTCAGTCATGTAACGCAGACACACTGACACACCTGCAAGAGATGTAACAAAAACGGGTTGGACAACACATTTCCTTAAAATGATTGGAAACAGTTTGCATCGGGCTTTGACGAATGTTTTCTTTCCTTTAGTTGGTTTGCAAGATATTTTACCTGCTCAGGATCAATGTGAATATAAACTGTACCAATTTCAGCGGATCAATTTCATTGATCTGCAGTGCACACAGTCATTCAGCTGCACAGGCTGGACTTCTGGGTAATAAGGCAATGCTACACTACTGTTTGTTTGTGTTTTTTATTTTTATTTTATTAGTTTAATGGAATTACAGTGTATAAGATTATACACTTACAGAGTCAGCACTTTTGCCAATTTTGTTGTCTGGCTTCAAACAGACTAAACCAAGGGGTGTCAAGCATAAGGCCCGGGTGCTGGAATTGGCCTACAAAAGACTACAATCTGGCAGTCTGTACAGTGTAGAGGAGGACGTAAATTTCATGCTTTTCACTGTGTTTCCATGAGTTTTACAGCTTTTCCTACTGATAAAGACCTCCTCTATGGCCATTTACACTTCACCAACATAAATAAGCAAAAGAAAAACTATTAACAGAAAGTTCCTGTTTTTTTACCATCTATTATGAAAATATGAATGAAAATATTATATGAAAATATTATATTTTAACTATATTATTAGAGACTTAGAGACTTAGAGCTTTTTATTGTCATTGTGCAGTTTCTTGCACAGCAAAATTGGGTAGCTGAACCACAAAGGTGCTAAAGTAAGAAGAAGAGAAACCAATATACAACGAAGGCGGAAAATAAATAAATAATTAAATAAATAGAATAAAAATAAAATAAAATAAAATAAAAAACAGTGTATATGTATACATATGTGAGTGGAACTATATACATGGTGTATGTGTAGGAAACATTGAAACAGACTGGGACCAAAATAATTGCACATGAGCCAAAAATATTGCACAGAACATGGAAAGATTACAGTGGGTTTGCATTAAAAATATTCTGTCAATTAACAAAATTTTTCATGTTATAATTAGCTCGCCGAGCTAACAGAAATATTTCATGTAATTTTTCAAATTTATTTCTCGCAATTCAAGCCCCAAGCAGCAATTTTTTATCATGCCGAAAACCTGAGATGAATTCTTGAAACTTTTTTTTCATGGTCTAAGGAGCTTGGAAAGAAAAGCGTCTGGATGTTTCCCCTCTCATCTGAGAAGCTTCTTTAGTTCTAGGGTCAAATGGTGGAGAGTCCAAGATTTAAGCCCTGTGAGAGTGTCACCCCAAGAGGGACAAAAGGACCCTGAAGAAGCTTCTCGGATGAGAGGTGAAACGTCTTCAAGCACCTTAAAGAAGTCCAGACGCTTTTCTTTCAAAGCTCCTTAGACTACAATGATCTGGATGACTGAGAACCTTCACACACTTCTTTTTCATATATTCAAATATCTCTGGGATTAACCGTGTAAAAAAGAGGACTTTTCCAGTCCTGCTTCAGATCAAAGTAGCTGTTTAATCCTTCTCTGTACAACCAGTAAATCTAATGCCAGTAGAATAAACCGCTGACTGCGTCTACACCACCTCTTTGAATGTACATACTCACTTCTGGTTGGACTCTGTGTGGTTGTAGCTTTGGTGGTGGTGGTCTTTGGAGGTTTGGTGGTGGTGGTGGTGGTGTTTGGATGTTTGGTGGTGGTGTTTGGAGATCCGACTTTGTAGCTTCTGGTTGGGTAGGGAGTTTGGAAATGATAATTGGGGTGATAGAAGATTACTCCTCCATAATTACGAGACAAAGTGAACATCCTCCCGTCTAGATTTATTTCAGAACTTCCTGCAGGCAAAAAGACAACAAAAAAGCCGTTATAACGTTTTCCTTCCTTCCTTCTTTCTTCATTATATGTGTTTTTATGTTGACTTCTGGGGTTTTGCTCCCAAAAGCAGGTTTAGTAAAAACTAAACAGCACACACCCCAATCCTCTGCAAAAGTTTACACCTTTAAAAACACTAAAATCCAGCTCCTTTATTTCCTTTCTGGTGACAGAAGAATATCTGTAATGTTTCATCCTCACATTGGAATCAAATTAGTTCTTTGTTCTTTTTATAACTCTTTGCGTCTGTAGAATGCAATTAAATTTCTAAATGGGATGGCTGCAGGATGGCTACCACAGCATCCTGCAGTGACATGCCATCCCACCAGTTTTAGTTAGGCCATCATTTATTTATCAGCAGGATAATTACCCCAAACACACCTGCAGGCTGTCTAAGGGCCATCTGACCAAGAAGGTGAGTGATGGAGTGCTGTGCCAGATGGCCTGGCCTCGACAGTCACCTTACCATAAACCCAAATGAGATGGTTTGGGATGAGATGGATCGCAAAGTGAAGGCAAAAGGGCCAACAAGTGTTCAGCATTTCTGGGAACTCCTTATAAACTGTTGGAAAACCATTTCAGGTGACGACCTCATCAGGCTAATCGAGAGAATGCCAAGAGTACGCAAAGTAGTAATCAAAGCATCTAAGGATACGTTCACACTGCAGGTCTTGATGCTCAATTCCGATTTTTTGATCAAATCCGATTTTTTT